GAGGGTCCTACACCCAAATGTGGACCCAGCCCTGCTGAGTATCTACTTCACAACCCCGAGTCAAAGCTTATCCCCCAGGACAGAGGCAGTCATCAGAGAGCTGTGAGTCATTTATTGGCTTTTATTGACAAGAAGTCAGTTCCCCTGACACCAGGTCCAGTATGTCTCCCCTCCTCCCCCCTGCCCCCAGTCCCTCCATGCCAATCAAGTTTGTACCCTGAAATCCCTATGGCGTACAAGAGGCACAGGGAAGTGGAAGTTGAAGATTCTAGAATTTAAATATATAAAGTGCAACAACATAGCTTATCAGGACCCAGCAGACCCTCTGGCATGACCCGGCAAAGTGGGGGCAGAAGGACTGGTGTGGGCCTGGGCGTTCGGGCGGGGGAGGGGAACAGGTGAAGCCACGTGGTATCCAGTGTCCAGGATGGAAAGAAATCAGCTCATATTTCCTTTCACTGGCAGAGGTTTATCCTTTTTAAATAAGCCAGAACCCATAGTTTTGTATCCAAGACACAGGTCTCTTGGCCTCCAATCAGCTTCAGTCTGTGGGCAGAGAACAAAGGAGAGGCTGTCACCTGAGTCACCCCCTGGGTGCCACACACAAGTCCCATCTTCCCCTCATTGCTCCCTGGTGCCCCTAAGCTGCTCTCTCAGGACCTGAAAATGAAGTCGTTGCCTAAGACCTATGGTTTGTACACTGCGGGGAACACTCAAGCTTCAGGGGGAGACTTTTAAATTGCATTTCCTGGACTCCTTTTGTGGACAGTACGATTCAGTGTATCAGGGTGAGGTGAAGGCTGCAGACACTCTGAGGATTTGCTAGCATGGAAAATCCCCCTCTTTGAATGTCTCTGAGGGCCCACCCACTGCATCTTTTCAAGTATCTGTGTCCATCTGGGACCCTTAGTCATTGCTTTAGGGGTGTGTGTGTGTGTGTGTGTGTGTGTGTGTGTAGTGTTTCTTTTCTGATCTGCCCACCTCCTAAACTTGGCTATTGTCCAAAACCATAGGTCAATTCTGCCTTTAATTTTCTACAAAGCCTTAGACAAATCTCTCTAATTCCCTGAACCTCGGTTTTCACAATAATGAATGTGCGCCCCAAGAGGTTTAGCTGAGATAATATACATGAAAGAGCCAATGGGCTCTCATTGGAGCTTCTTAACTACACTGTGATGCTGCTATCATGTTTGCGCCACTTCACAGATCAGGGTGCAGAGGGATACCCAGAGAATGAGGTTCAGAAGAGTTACCTGCCCAGTCGCCCAAGACTAGAGGTTGGCAAATCCAGAGACAGGAAATTAATTGAGACCCCCTCATTCTTAACATCACATATCACGCCTGGAGCTTTTAAGCAATTCCCTCCTCTGAGCATAAAATACCAAGCTATAATACTGAGAGCCCTGGAGCTCCGAGGAACCCGTCACTGCAGGACCACAGGCGCTCCCCCCTCCACTTCCAGCGCCCACGCTCAGATATGCACCTAGGTTTGTGTGGCCTTGTTGTCTTGGTTTAAAAAACCCTTAATCTGGTGAAACATTGCCATCTAGCGGCCACAATGCTAATTCCAGATGGTCCGGTTTGTTCTCTGGAGAAGGGAGTCAGGGATTCAACAGGGTACCACTACTCACATTAGACCGTTTTTGTAGGAGCAGGTGGAGCTGGTGTTCCTGTAACACCGGATTTTCTGCAGGGGAATCTTCCTCCCCGTAAATCTGAAGCAACAATTGGAGGATGACACATGCACTAGAAGAGAAGCACAAAAGAGGTTTGTGTTAATTTCTTAACCTGGACTTAGTTCCTCTCATCCAGGAAAAGAAGGAAGGGAGGGAAAAATTAAAAAAAAAACCCTACCAGGACAGGCTCAGGCTTTAGGATAACATCCTGAAGGCCCTGGTGCATCTCTGCCTCATCAGCCACCTAGTTCTGTATTTAGACTGAGTCAGGACACTGGGGTTCAGACCCCAGCTCCCCTCAAGTCAGCTGTGTGACTTTGATCTAGATGAGCCCTCACCTGGGCCCGAGACCTCCCAGCTATAAAACAAGACGTATTAGACTAATTTCTAAAGGGTCTTCCTGTTCTGACATCCCATCGCCGGAGTATCGTACCACCCCAATATTTGGGTTCAAGGGCTCTGGACCCGGCCAGACTCACCAGAACCCCAGAACAAAATAGGGTCTGCAGTCTACTACCTGGGGCAGGATTAGGAACGGTTCCACGAGTTCAAACTACTGAAATGACAAGGGAAGAGCTTCCAGGAACTAATCAGTTCCCTCCACCACCACCTCTCTAGAATGCCCTCCACCCCTAGTCTTCAGTTCTGTCTTGACCCCTCACCCTTACTCTGCCAGTTTGGAACCCCATTCCATAGCCCACCCTCGAAAGCCTTGCATTTCAACCCTGGCTCCTTTCTCCTGGTTTCACTGTTTACATAGCCCCTTCCACGTGTCTGTTGTTAGGTTGGTACTCTCTCAACAGCCTTGGAGGGCAGGCATTATCAAATCCATATCTTATGATGGGGAAACCAGAGTTTGTGAGGTAAAATGATTTGCCCAAAGTTAGCCAAGTGTTGCAGTCCCAGATCCTGACTTGAGACTCTGCTTATTATATGTTACACGGTAGAGGCAAGAGCCAGTCTCTCCTCTAGACCTTAGGCCTCCAGCTCAGTCTAAATCACCTCACAGCTCCCCTCCAACAGTCCACAGGGACTGGACAAGGCGGGCCTCCTTTTGTTGAAGCTAGCAACTCAGGGGTCTGTGGCCCCAGACTCATGGTTCTCCCACTGGCCCCCTGCCCCCCACCCCCATTCAGGTCTTCTCTTCCCCTCTTCAGGAAGAATTCTCCCTGGAGGAGTGGAAACGGAGGCAGTGAGCTCAGGGTGAGCCCTGCCCCCAACCCCAGAGTGCCTGCCTGCGTCTCCGCCCTCCCCAGGAGAAGCAAAGGGACTCGGGCCACACTCACTGCTCTTGCTGTTCACATCCTGTAGCCACATCCCAGCCAGCAGCAGGCACACCAGGGCCACAGTGATGAGCTTCATATCGGGGCGTACAGCTCAGTCCTCCCTGGAGGGGTCTCAATGAGTCTGGTGAAGCCAAGAGCTCTCCTCTGGCCTGCAGTGCCCAGAGCTTCTTTTTGAATACCAGGGTGGGGATTCCCAGCCCCAGTGCAGAGGCGGGGAAGTCAGGGGGAGAAAAGATAGTTACTCACATCCAGTGACCACATGGAAAACTCCTTTCCCCAACCTCTCCTGGGTGGTGTGAGAGGTGTAGGGAAACTTCCCCAAGCACAGGAGCAGATAAGGATCTTGCGAGGATGAGCAGAAGCTGCCCTAGCTGAGTGGGACGCGGAGAAAGCTGAGTGAGAGGAAGTGACCTGTCTGTGGTTTCTCTGACCCCACATCTTTCCATCCAGGGATGGATGGAGCTACTGTCCCCAGAACCTGGCAGAGCCTCAGAGCTCTGGCCCAGCACTGAGACACATCTAGGTTTGAATCCCAGTTCTGCAAATCATAAACGCTCAAATCACATCTCCTGCGCAAAATGGAAAAAGTAACTCGTGTCTCCCGGGCATGGGATGAGCATTAAGATCAGCTATGTCAAGGACCTGGCCCAGAGAGGTGCTATGGCTTCTTTTTTTTTTTCAATCACTTAACACTTTTCTACAGTTTGCTCTGTTTTGGGTCCTTGGTTAGCCCCGGGGAGGACAGCTACCAATGAGATGCAAGCCATTGCCCTTCGGCTCACAGATAAATAAGAAAAAAGCCAGTCCGTATAAGGAGAGCAGTAGATGTCCCACTGGGTGAAGTCCAAGCTGCTGCCCTGGCCGTGAGTGGCCCCTCATGCTACGTCTCCATAGGTTCCTGCACATTGCAATATTTGCAACTCTCTGAACACCCCGCATGCTTTCTTTTCTCCAGGATTTGCTCCCACTGTAACCTCCCTCTGCAGGTCACTGTTTCCCCCTGTGAATTTTCTACCCACTTCAAATGCCATTGCCTACGGAAAGACCCTTCTGCTGTCCCCAGCAGATGGGCATTCACCTTCAAAGCCACCCCTGTGCCTGGATCTCCCACATGAAGGTCTTTTATCCGGCAACCCCTCTGATTCATGTATTCTCCATCCTAACACCTGCGTGAGAGTCCAGGTCTGTCAGAGATGAAAGGCCCCTTGAAGACCACCTGCAGTGATGGCTTGGAAACTTTCCTGGGAGAGCTTTTGGGAAAAAAAAAAAGCAAAAATCTGTGCCCCATTTTGGAAGCAGAATCAAAACATATACATATTAAGTTGAGAGCGGAGGGGAAATGCCAGGTAATTCAGGCACCAACAGATAAGAATCCGGTATGGTTTTTTCCTATTAGAAATGAGGAAAAAATGAGTCCCAGAAAGAAAAAACTGACTTTGCCAAGGTTATACAGAGACTTCGTTGCACAGAGGGAAATGCTGAGGCATCTGGGCATCTGACTGCCATGTGCGGCCGCCTCTGAGAACACCCCTCCAGGAAGGACCACCGCTAATGACTGCACTGCTCCATCAATTCCCATTCATCCGGCCAGCTGCTTCCTGCTGCCTGAAAAGTACTTGAAGCAGCTGGAATCTCTCCCCTACTCCTATCCTCTGTATCCTCCCAGACTGATCCTTTTTAAGGCCTTGGCTGTCGTTTGAGTTGGGTCTTGGGGAGGGAGGAGATAAAGAGATGTGGTCAACTGGCCAAATGTAACACAGGCCCTTTACACTCACTTGGGACACAGAGACGGGAAGGTGGCCACCCAGGAGATTCTCCACTCTTCACTCTCCCACTCCCCCACCACCACCCCATCCTGGGGATGCTGCCCAGCCCACTTGAGACCAAGACGGGGCTGCCCATCCAGCAACGCACTTCCCCTCCTCCCCCTCGCTGTGGCCACCGTGAACCCAGGACAAGAAAAGAGGAGACAGAAAGTCTTAGTCATGCCTCCCCCTTCCGGGCTCCTGCAGCACCTGAAGGAACCGGCTGAAGGCTCCTATCGCACGGAAACCTAGTGCTCCACGCGGAGCCTCCCCAACCCTTCTCGGCCTCCTCTCCCCCAGGCCTGGCACAAAGCAAGGGCCAAGTCATAACTCCATAAAATATTCTTGGCCTTGAATCAGATGGGTCAGAACTGCGGCGGGTGGATGGAGAGATCAGAAATGTCCCCAGCACAGACACTGAACCAGTTTTCAGGCAAACAATCCTTTGCTTAGTTAGAAGTTTGAAAAGCAGTGAGGGCCTGTAGGAGGTTTTCCTTTCTTTTTAATTGGAGATACTGGGAATTGAACCCAGGACCTTGCACATGCTAAGCACACACTCTACCACTGAGCTACACCCCTACCTGCAAGAGGCTTTCTTATTAGTCACCTTTTGTGTAGCAGGGACTGATTTACTGAGGATGGGTAGAGACCAGACACAGCTCAACTGGGGTGGATTCATCTTAAGTGGCCCCCGCCTCTTGCCTCAGCCTTGCTGGCCTCAGGGGATTCAGCCTGGCCCTGCCTGCTTGCTCTGCCGTTACCAACCTGATCCCTGAACCAGGATACAGAAACCTCTTGGGGGAGAAATCATTTGCTCAGCATCGCACAGCTACTGGAAGACTGGCCTCGCTTTGTCTATCCCTGGGGACAGGTCTTCTTAGTTCCCTCACTTAGGGAGGAAGCACGTTTAGATACAGAGATAACTGGGTCAGATTTCAGGCCTGCTGTGTGACCTTGGGCCAGTAACCTAATGCTCCTGAGCCTTAGTTCCTTCATCATAAAATCCACTACCAAACGGACCTGGTACCACTCTCCCTGTTGTTTTCAAAATAAAATTCTCTAACTGTAACCTAACTTTGGGCTATTTGAAGGATTCAATGAGGTTTCTCAACTTATCTGGGAACAAGGGAGAAAGAAAGGAAGGGAGGGAGAAAAAGGAGGGCAAAATGGAAGGGAGAGGGAAAGAAAGTTGGATTATCAGAATCACTGCAGAGCACCTAAAATATCCTTGGTCCTGGGAACACAGTAGGAACAAGACAGACACCAGTCCTGCCTTCGTGGGGCTTACAGCTCGCTGGGGGAGGCAGGATCTGGGAACTGTGATTAAGTGCTTGAGAAGAGACATAATGTTCGGTGAGCTGCAGAGTAGAGGGAAGTGCTTCCCAAGGGGCCTGACACGTAGTAGATACTCAATAAAGCTGCACCCCTCCCCCCTCTACCACTCAATCCTGGACCATCTGAGGCTTCATCACAGGGCACAGGCTGGGCTGCCACCTCCCATCCTGGTCCCTTTCCTTCTAATCCTCTGCTGTCCAATGCCCAAGCCAGGCTTTCTGTTGTCACCCACCGGAGCACAGTGTCCTCTCCTGTCCCCACCTCTGCACCAGGCCTAGCTGCCTCCAGTCAGCTCAAGTCCAGCCCTAGCCAGGTCTCCAGCACCCAAACACCTTCGAATTCAAAGCCCTTTCTGGAGTGTTCCAGCGCCTCTTACCCTCCGCCTGGGTTCCCTTGTACCCCATCTTCTCTCTAGCACTTTTGTTCTTTTCAGAAGGCCTCTCTTATCCAGGTCTAGTCGATAATGTGAAGGAGGCATTAAGCATCTTTCCTAGCAACAGCAGACCCAGGGGTGCCCAAGGAGTGTCGCAGCAGTGACAGTCACCAGGTTTTCAATGCGCGTCCACAGTCACGGAGCTGGTGAGTGACAAGTCAGCCCACTGTGCTGAGGTGAAGTACCCCTGTCGTTGCTGGGTTTACGCAGCCCTGCACCACGTGGCCGTTCTGCGCATGCGCTGGGACATCCGCCCTGGAAGCCGGTTTCAGCTTGATCTGGCTGGCTTCCTGCCTGCTGTCCCACCTGAGCTCCTGGCATGAGCCAGCCTCGCTGCCCACAGCAGGGCCCTCGCACTCTTGTGAATGCCTGGTGGTCCACACCCCACGCTTGTCTGGAAAGCTCCCAAAGGGCAGGAGACCGCAGGTTGTGGTCCGCGTTTCGTGCCCCAGCGCCCCACTCCGGGTGAGCATGCAGTGACGGTTCCTGAGGAAGGAAGGAAAGGCCTTCACATCTCTACGGTCATCCCCTTGATGAGAAACGGAGCCCCTGGAGGTGACAGGCGTCATGCAGCTAGGCAAGTGACAGAATCAGGGTGAGCAGCTCCGGCCGCACCCTTGCTTGTTTATACTGCCCTGGACCGTTCTCGCACACGTGGGCGGAGACCCCGCTCCTTGCGTTTTCCAGGGGTGCTGAAGAGCCCCATCCCACCTGCGGGATTCTAGTGACAGGTCTCGGTTCCTGATGTGCTCCTTCGTTCATTCATTCATTCATGCGCTCACTCCTTCACTCAGCAAACGTTTGCCGAGGGCCCACTCTGTGCCAGCCCCTGCACTGGCGGTCAGGTGAGAGAGAAGAGCTGACCCCAGAGCCAGGGCCTGGAGAGGGAGACAGACACACAAACCAGGAAGTGGGTACAGACAGGTAAGGACTTCTCTAATGTGCAGACCAGACTCTGTGTGTGCCCAGTTAGTGGCGGGGACAGGGGGTGGGGCACGGTCTCTGGGGTACAGTGGAGTGTCTAAACTGGGCCTGGAAGAATGAAGGTGAATTTGCCGGGGAGTGGAGTGGACAGCACGGTGAGCATGGTTATGAGGGTGGACTCTGCCTGGCCCCCAGCCCCAGCTCCTCCGTACACCACCTGTGTGACCTCTTTCCCTTGCTTGGCCTCCCAGCCTCATCTCCAAAGGGGGATCATTAGGGATACCCGGTTACGGGCTTGTGTGAGAATTAAACATGACTTATCTCTGAAGGAAAACTGAACAATCATTTGATGGATGGTAATCGCTGGTATCTCTAGAGCATGAGGGAATGAATTCGCAGGAAGTGGCAGGAAAGGGAGCCAGGAGGACCAAGCCAGATTTCACAGGACCTTGATTAGGCTCTGGCCTTGGACTTGAGCCTGTTGACAGTAGAGGGAGGGCCTTAAGTAATCTGCTCAGAACAGGGGTAAGGCCAGATTTGTGGTATGGACCGAGGGCTGGTACTTTGCATTGCAGGACAGGATAATGGAAGATGTCCTTAGGCCTGGGAGGTTTGAAGGAGTCCAGGAGGAGTGACCGGTGGGATGGGGTGGGGCCAGGGGATTCTTCTGTAGAAAGAGTGTGAAAGTCAGGTTGTGGGGCTTCTGGGCTCTGCTGCTCTTTTTCTGTGAGACCTTGGCCAAGTCACTTCCTCCCTCTGGGCCTCAGTTTCCTCATCTGAAAAGTGGGAGGCTTGGCCTAAATCAGTGATTCTTTCCTTGGAAAGGAGATTCATATGGACCATTTGGGAAGCTTTTATCAGAAGACATATGCTTGAAGCCTACTCTGGACCTCTGAATTCTGAATCCAGGGCAGTTGGACTATCTTGAAAAGCCTCCCCAGATAATCCAATCCCACCCCTTCCTTCCATCAGAAGCCTGTAGCCTGGACGGCTACTGAGACCTTCTCTGGTTTGGCATTATATGCTATTTGGGGTCTCCAAGTACAGACAGAGCACTGCTCACAGCCATACCCCAGACAGCCCCTCGTCCATCCCTGGTGGAACAGGCCTTTTGGATCAGGCCTATTATGCTGAGAACACCTTTCTAATGAGGATCAAGGCAACAGAGCC